AACTGCTACTCAAGGTGCAGCTCTGGCCTTGTTTCTGAATCTGAAACTGCTGACACTGAAAAAAAATTGGAACTAAAAGTAAAGATTATATATTGCTCTTTCCCAGCATATGGAATCACTTAATATTATATAAAGTGACTCTAAGTAAATTGTTTAGCGGGTGCACTTGTGTGCACGGCTTGCTCCTTCTTTCCTTTCCTCCTTTTCTCTGTGCAGATTAAGTCTGTAGTAACACATTTAATCTTCAATTCTCTTTTTTATGAGCTAATCATGTCGCAAGGGCCATTAAAACTCACTGAAAAAAAAACATGTGAACCAAATTTCTTGAAAAGTGAAAACCCCTCATGATATATGACCGCTGCCCTTTCTTTAATTTGCTGGAAAACGTATCGAAACTATAGAAAATGTTTTATAATATCAGTTCTGTAACATTAAACGGGAGGAGGTCCGCAGAGGGCCGGCACTTACCGGGACAAGGTCAAGGTCCACTGAGCAACCTAGGCCTATACAAGGGTTAAGGTTGTTGTTTTTTAAAATTCTTCTTTCAAAATTGTTTCGTTCTTTCTTTTGACTCTTCCAAAATACTGAACCCAATTTTTTTGTATATAAACACCCCGTTCAAAATATCACCTCTTTTGTGTGTTATTGGTCAGCAGGCCCTCTGCGAAACTCTTTCCCATTTAACAATAGAGAATAATCATTTAAATTATAATATTATCTCTGCTTTTATGACTTACACAACTACACAGAAACTCCACACCCCGCTCAAAGCAAGCTATCACTAAACAAAACTTCAGGCTCTTGACATTTTGCTCGTGCTCACATTACAGGACCATTGCGTTAAATAGATCTCTCTGTATATATAATATAATATAATATAATATAATATAATATAATATTGTACATCAAGCGCCATACTAGACCTATCTAGGTAGTGTCAATTGTGACCGGATCATCCGGTCGGAACTGACACTGCGTCAATGGTGACCAGAGACATAGCCGGAGACGTATGCTGCTCTTCTTTCGTGAAAGTCGTTTTTCACATTTTGGCCCAAATATAGAAGACGTATTATCTATTTTTGTCGTCTTCCGGGGCTTCCCTCACCAGTTGACTTATGAAGATTGAAGAATACCGAACCACTTGTGTTATTGCGCGAGAATGGGAGGCAGAGGAAGGGATTAGGGGAGGGGGGGGTTCAGGGGGGTCTCCCCCCTGACAAATTGCTAATGAATAGTCAGAATAGAGATAGACTAGGCTACCGGTCTGAGATTTTTCATTGAGAGAGATTAAAAACTGGGGAAAATCATGAATTCCTAAGGTTGTTGGGACATAGGCAAAAGTAGTCCTAATCCGCTGGTCCAGTATCCTTCAATCTTACCATTGACTTTGGCTAGCAATGCCAATCGCCCACTGCGCCTTGGGCCAGAAATCGGCCTCCGCGTGAGGGGTAATTTTTGGGCCGCTCGGAATCAGAAGTGACTCTCTTGTAAGTATAGTTACGGGAAAACTCGAGGACGAAAATATATGAAACTCGGCAACCAATCAGAGGAAAGGTTAAACTAACGACATGCAAGCGTACATTCCCGAACGATTTCTATAACCGGAGAAGTTGCCGTGTATGTGCGATGATCCGGTCACAATTGATGCAGTGTCAGTTCCGACCGGATGATCCAGTCACAATTGACGCTACCATCTATCTATGTGTGGGATGGAATAAATGATATTCTGTCTACTGCCTTCATCCAAAGCGATACAAGGCAAAGACTTGACAGTGTTGTCAATTGATGGCAATTGTCAACACAAAAAAGTATAACAAGCAAAAACAACATAAATATGAAAGTACATTTTGTCTCAGCATCCAAGGTTTATAAACCCAAAATGAATTGAATAACGCATGGGGAATAATTTCTCAGGAAACCATTGAGATCTAGATTCTAGACTCTAGCCTAATTTAGTAGAACTTTTGCAAGCCTGCTAGTTAGGCCCAAGTACACTGGACTGACTCCATGGAGACTGGTCTGGGTCGAGGTAGACCAAAAAAGTGCAAAGCTTAATCTTTCTGGAGACATCTGGTCTGTTATAATCTTGATCCTTTGTTCCTGGAACAATAACCAGGCTACACCGTGCTTCATACTTCGTCTTCATGGAGTAATTTTGCATTGAAATCAAGCTCAAGTAGACAGATATATGTTAGGGTAGAACCTATGACAAGGCCTAGTCTATCATAGCCTTAATCTAGAAAAGATCTAAGATCTAGATCTAGAAAAAATCTAGAATCTAGAAGAAAATAGACCATGGTAGGCTAGAGGCAGAGGAGCGTTTTAGAGAAGTGTGGAGGTAAAGAGAATTCCTCCTAAATCTTCTTTAATTACAGACAAATCAGATAACACTGTACAAATTTACCTGTTTTTGGATTTGCTGAACTCGCTTGTCGTGTTGCTTTGGTGCAGAGCTGAGAGCAAACACAATCTTCATCCGCAAGTACATTACAGCATCGTAAATCACCGAGACAGGGAGAAGAAACAAGCAAACAAAAATCCATCGATAGTGGATAAGAATATGTTCCATCAAAGAGATCTCCATTCTGATTTTGCAAAAAAAAATCCACTAAACAGTTACAAGAGGCAACAATATTCGTCGCGTTATTCAAGAATCTATACCGATCTGAAGCCACGTTTGGAAAAGAAGGCTGGACTGCCAAGTCGATGATTCTTGAGAATGAGACTGAAACTGAGACAGAAGCAGGTGCCGTGTATCGAACCACCCGTCAGGCGCCGGCGTTTTGTGTTCAGTGTTGTCGCCTGGGGAAGCACACAGACGACGGACGCCGCACGATCCCTGAACTCAATTTAACCCCGGGAACAGAGCAATACGACTGGTTCAGCAGACTCCCTCTATTCCCACATCGTGCTTTCTCAAACAGGGCGCTATTCCCAACAGTTTGGGAATAATAGCTATCAACGGCCAAAGGGGAAAAGTTAGGACAGGCCAAAAATAGGCCTAACTAACAGATCTATAGCCTAGTTGTTTTGTTTGGGGGTTTTTGCTTTTGTTTTTGTTCGGGTTTTTTAAATGAGGGTTTCCGATCAAAGGAATGAATGTGAATGGTGAACAATGATAACCGATGTATGTTGCAGATTTGACACTTGATGATCGTGATCAACGGCCAAATTGTCTAGACTTAGAAAAGGCCTCGCCAGTTCTCAGACCGCTGTTGACACGCTTTCGTAATTCACAATGTCGGCTCCTCTTTCCCCGGCCGGCTTACCGTGCCCCCCGCCCCCTTTTTCGGGGGGAGAGGGAGGGGGGGGGGCTTATTTTTCATAAGGATTGTGGCGTGTTTTGTGTTTTGTCTGTGCAAAGTGCTTGGGATAAATGTCAGGTCAGTTTGATTGTGTGCAGGTTACTTGGCTCGGGCTGTTTTCCTTGTCAGTTGACATTACAATATCCGCGAGAACATAGCGGCGTTGTGTGGTAACTTGCTCTCCCTCAATCCACCAGTTACAAGACTTCTATTCTATTTTCGTCTTTATCTAGGGTCTATTAGATATTATTATTACGACCAGGAAGTTGAGGTACATGGGGCGGGCATACTAATATTACAATTTAGGGAATAAAAAAACTTTACCGAACAAATCATGGTCTTGGTTTTTTAAAATAATAAATCTAATTAATCAAAATCAAGACAGTGCGTTTTATTTATCTATTTTTTTTTCTTTTTACACACACACACACACACACACACACACACACACACACACACACACACACA